ACTTGTGATTAGTCATGTATTGACAGTTGCCGTCATCGGATTAGTATGGAAATTGATGAGCGCAATACAAAAACACTGACTCTTAGGGACGGACCATTAGAAAAATTATGGGGGGGGGGGAGGGGAATTTTGGAGCCGCAGGAATTTTTTTTCGTTATCAAATTCCTTTTATGAAGTTTTTTTAGGCCATAGCATGAATATTTTTTCGGATTAATTGGCATGCACGAATTTTTTTCAGTTAATTTTCCCTTGCGCGAATACAGTGGAACCCCGCCTTACGACCACCCCGTTTATAAGACCACCTCGTTATTACGGCCATATTCTTTCAAACCAAACGTAAAAACCATCGAGTCATTTTATTATTTTGAAGACCCCGTTAATGCGACCACCTCGTTATTACGACCAGGATTTTATGGCCCAACAGTGGTCGCATTAACGGGGTTCTACTGTATTTTTTTCTAATGGTCCGTCCCTTATAGCAGGCACTCCCTGCCCTTTTCCCTTTTGCGCTCAACCTCGTTTTCGGAAATGACATATTTACCCGTAGCTGATTGTGTCAAGCCTAAAGGCACACCTCTTCCAAACCATCCCGCAGAATGTAGGGACATCATTACTTATTCATAATCAGCGAAGCGATAAATCTGAAGGCGAGTTGGCTAAGAAAAGCTCACAATAAGCCCGGTAGCGCTGATAAAACTTGTTTTCCTGCTTTCCAAAAGCCAAGTTCTAAAAACCTTTATACGCACGACTTTTTGAAGAAGAATGGCGTACCTGCAATTTGAAACTAAATCGAAGACGATTAAACAAGAATAAATATATATTATCCCTTTGAACTTGAAAATATAGTAAAAACGGCCTTTGTTAGTATGGACAAGAGAGAATAGCTCATTCTCTCTTGGTATGGAGTCTATCTTCGAAAGAGGTTTTCTGAAAATTTACACCGCTTTTGAAAAATCTACGCGCGGCAAATGAAAGATGGACCTTTTCTCGAACAGACTCCGTTTTAATATGGAAAATCGGTTGAGGAATCACTATCCCTTTCATTTTGAAAACGTCTGGAAGGAGATGTCTTCCAAATTGGCGCGGGATATTCGCGGATCTATCTGAGCTGTTTGGGTTGTAAGTTTGACTTTTTTACTTGTTTGTTGGTTATGATCAAGACTAACACTACGCGCAAGTAACCACGTACATACGGAGTCCTTACGGTAACCTGCCCGGCTGCAAACAAGGAACAGATGTAGTTAAGACAGATATTTAAGGCCTTTCTACTAATTATGAATAACATGAGAACATAATATTACGGTAAGATTCATACTAGTAATATGCTGAAAAAACCATATGCAAAAAACTGCCTAATTAACCTGTTAATACCTTGTGCAAGGCCTACGTATCACCACGGAAAACAGTTTATTATATAGATACTGATGAAATACCAGTCGCGCGCAGTGAAGATATATACTATTTTCATTTTTCACGTGTGAGGATATTGGTGTCGCCATGGTTACTAACATGATTAGCCAATTACAAGTGAGCTTCCCGTTTTTAATAGAGTTTTCGAAGTTTTCACGACAAACTGAACTTCTCCGGATCCTGTGGAAAGGCTAAACAAACCAGATGTCCGATGGGCGAAAAGCTATAACCAGAATCTGTTTTAAAGTACAATTCCAAGTAGCGATTAACCAGTTTAGGTAGGAAGAGACTCAAAATACTAAATCTGAAATGCAACACTCTCCCGCGGTCCATGAATATCTGGGCAGAACAGGCCAGAAGATTAGCCAGTGAATTAACGATGAAAAGTAAAATTGAGATCAAACAGCGAAACAGAGACGGGGGCAGAGGACAGTTTATTTATGATCTCCCTATGGTTTTTCAATAATATTTTGTCATGCGGCTACACTAAGCTCCAGAAGTGTACAACATTAAACTACTGTCAGAAAGTTGTAGAAATGTAAATACAATATTACTAAGTATTCGGTATTAAAATTAAGTGTATGTACATGTTTGTGCAACTTAATTTGGTTTGTAAACATTCCTCTAAGTCTATTAATTTTGTTGTTCAATACCATTCCATCTAGTTGTCTACTTTTTCTTGTTCCCTCCTGCACTGGAAAAACCAGGGCATCAGTAACTACTTAAGAGGGTATATGTTGCTTTTAATGATTCCCTAGAAAAGACAAAAACAAATCATTTATGAAAATTAGGTACGCACTCCTCCCAGCCTAAAACACGTCCGATCCAACAAAAATAATTATTTTCTGCAAAAAGTACAAGCCCATGCATCGGCCGCCATTTCCTGCCAGCACAACCTCCTGTGTTAATGGTGAGTGGTCCGCTTGCAGCTGTGCAGTGATGCAGTCTAGAAGTGCGTGTGTGTTACTTTTAACATATCCAATAATTACATGTATACTATTCAGAGGAACTACCCCAATTTCAAAGTGGCACCAGCCAGAGACATCAGATTTTCTCAAAATCTCAGTAGTAAATACTGAGTGTGTAAATGTATTATATACAGTCTGTAAAAACACTGGCAATCTGTTAGGTTAATTGTTAATGATTAACTTACATCTTCATTGCACAGCTGTTCAATCCATTGCACTGGGTCAGTGGTTTCAGTTGTCCCTAAATAACTTGTTCTTAACTTTGTGTGCTATTTCTCTTCTGTGGCACTGTAATCTTGAAATCCGTAAATATGTGGCTGTAGACAGAAAAAAAAAAAACACTTCACTTTCTTTGTGAAAGCTCATTCTGTGTAGGGTTTCCTCTCTGAGTATTGTCACTTGCACTGGATGTCTATTCAACAAAGGCCTTGTTGAATAGAAAGTGTGCATAAAATGTATACAACTAACTAATAACAAAACTTGCCTTTTGCTTACCCTTTCCTTATATAATTATGTAGGTTAAAAGTTAACTTTGTTCCAGCTGTTTGGCATTATAAATTGTAATGCTGTATTAACAGTTATCTTCCCTGCAGCTAGCAGCCTCTTTCCCATGGTACTACAGAAGACCAGGGAAAAGTCAGCCTTCTTTTAGCAGGGGGACGATATTATCCACACACAGAAAACTATTTTTTTAATACACATGTTCATGTATAGTCATTTCATACATGTAGTTTAGATCAAGCTATCCTACAAAAGGATCATAGTACTAAAAAGAATATCCCTTTTGAGGATAGTCTGAACAACTCACAAAGCTAATTCTGCTCAACACTCCCATAAACTTTACTGATGGGGGTGCTCACACACCCCAGGCCTACCTGTCTGCTAAAGGTATGAGAAAGTCTCGGTAATGGTTGCTATAATACTTTGATTTAGAATACCGGGTACCATAGGGAAATTTATTGACTTTTCTTTTTAAGGGACTAGCCATTAGCAAAGTGATATCGTTGGGGGTGGGGGGCATAAAAAATCCAGTAAAAGTTTGAGAAAAATACAAAATCTCCCTTCCCATCAGCACAAAAAAATCCCATCCCAGGAGAAGATGAAGACTGTTGCCATTCCATTTAAAAAAAACTAAGAGTCATCACTCAGCAAAACCATGAAATTGATTCAGTCAACCCAGCTTGGAGCTGATAATCCAACTGGACCACAAGAAAAAGACCTTTGTCTTTTAAAACGTTCCCCCTTTGCTCAAAATTATTGTGTACATTTGATAATAAAATGCAATATCGTATTCAAAGGGAGATGTGTAAAATAAAATACTGTTTACTTATCCTAACCCTGATCACCACAACCCACACGACCTCTAATCCCTACTGACAGTTTATTTATACGACTTACCGTATTTATTCGAATAAGCGCCCAACCTCGAATTAGTGCCCACTACGAATAAGCGCCCATCCTAAAGGCAGAAAAAGTTAGTAAGCGCCCAGCCTCGAATAAGCGCCCACCCCACCCCACCCCCCTCCCACTCCCACTCAAACTCAAATAAGCGACCAACCCCACCCCACCCCACCCCACCCCAACAAAATTGAATAAGTACTAATAAGA